ATAGAGGCAAGGGTATCGGTGAAATTATTTTCAGTAATTCTCGTTAGTTGTGATCAGTTTTCACTATAAACACCAATTTAATTTGTGTACATTTTTTAACACCGGGACATAAAACAGTGATTCCCCTGTACCGGTTATTCGTCATTCTCGACCCTCAATTCTTATTCTCTAGATATGTAATGTGTTTTGATGCAAATATACATTAACTATTAGCATAATCAAGTTGTTAGCAATTATAGTGTCAGTGATTTGTAACTAACAGGCTTGATTCCTTTCGTCAAAGTCGACAAACTTGGGGATCAAGGGGCTTAGTATCTCCTGAATAAAACTTGATTTTATCAGAAGATAATTTTATGGAAAATATTTTTTAGTTTCTGAGAAATTATTTGTGCCAATATAAGATTTATCATCTGATCTCAAGCGAGCCCCAGTAAGCAATCTTGAAACAAAAAGGGTGAATTCTGGCATGACAATCAAGAGACGTCAAATCAAAGTCGTTTACGTCATAATGTCCACATGGGCCTGCCAGCCGACGTTCATAGGCTTTTACAAGACGGCGACTGGACAATCAGATAGATAGATATTTTGCCGTAATGATAATTATGTGTTCATGACCTGATTAGCCTTTTCTGTAAAGCTTGATGGAATAGTGTCTGTATATCACTGGGACAAAGAGGACTCCTTGTACTATGGGACTGTTGTAAAACTCTACATCACTTCAGTAACAGGATCGCATTTTCCGTGTGACCAACAAAATACATAAGGCTCATTTATATTTCTTGGCACTTTCCACGAGAAATTTTTTTTATCATCAGTACCCAAACCAGGAAGAATATTGATGTCCACATAATCAAGTTTTCGGTATTGATATTTCCAATTTGCTTATTTGGTTCCGTTGCTACGCCATTCATATGTTATGGTTCAAACTATATTTTGTTAGCACAAATATGAAATATGGTTTGGTCAAGAGTATACTTATCTATATCAAAACCTTTCAATTACAACAATGTCGACCAAATTGTCGTGCAACTCCCCAAGTCCAACATATAATTTACCTTTACTAATATAACAAGAAGATCAATGGATATGGTAAATCAAACATAGACTTCCAACCGTTTAACAACTTGTAGAATCATGGCTAATAAAAGCAGTTTCATGGTAAAGTATTTACATATAGTTTCCATACTCGTTATTATACATTTATATTGCCAAAGAGAATTTACATCAATACCAATGACAAAGAAGTTTCTGCGCCTAACAAAGAAGGCTATGCATGATGGTGAAATCTTTTCTTACAGACATTAGACCGCTATGTTCACACTTCTTCATCGGGCAAATTGAACATACGTAGTATGTTCATACACCTTCATCAGTGACTCCTTCATCAGTTCATACTCGTTTGTAGGGTGAATAAAACGTTACGGACTATGTTCCAACTCCTTCATCGGGTGAATTGAGCCTACAGGGTATGCTCTAACTCCCTTATCAGTGAATTAAACGTTAATAAGTATATTAATCGTCCTTCGTCAGTGAGTTTGACGTTACGGACTGTGTTCCTACTCCTTCATCAGTAAATTAAACGTTAATGAGTATATTCATCGTCCTACATCAGTGAATTAAACGTTAATGAGTATATTCATCGTCATACATCAGTGAATTCAACGTTAATGAGTATATTCATCGTCCTGCATCAGTGAATGAAACGTTAATGAGTATATTCATCGTCCTACATCAGTGAATTAAACGTTAATGAGTATATTCATCGTCCTACATCAGGGAATTCAACGTTAATGCGTATACTCATCGTCCTACATCAGTGAATTAAACGTTAATGACTATATTCATCGTCCTACATCAGTGAATTAAACGTTAATGACTATATTCATCGTCCTACATCAGTGAATTAAACGTTAATGACTATATTCATCGTCCTACATCAGTGAATTAAACGTTAATGAGTATATTCATCGTCCTACATCAGTGAATTAAATGTTAAAGACTATATGCATCGTCCTACATCAGTGAATTAAACGTAAATGAGTATATTCATCGTCCTACATCAGTGAATTAAACGTTAATGAGTATATTCACCGTCCTACATCAGTGAATTAAACGTTAATGAGTATATTCATCGTCCTACATCAGTGAATTAAACGTTAAAGACTATATTCATCGTCCTTCATCAGTGAATTAAACGTTAAAGACTATATTCATCGTCCTACATCAGTGAATTAAATGTTACGGAGTACGTTTATTTTAACGTTAGGGACTATATTCATCGTCCTACATCAGTGAATTAAACGTTAAAGACTATATTCATCGTCCTACATCAGTGAATTAAACGTTAATGAGTATATTCATCGTCCTACATCAGTGAATTAAACGTTAAAGACTTTATTCATCGTCCTACATCAGTGAATTAAATGTTACGGCGTACATGTTTGTTTTAACGTTAGGGACTATATTCATCGTCCTACATCAGTGAATTAAACGTTAAAGACTATATTCATCGTCCTACATCAGTGAATTAAACGTTAAAGACTATATTCATCGTCCTTCATCAGTGAATTAAACGTTAAAGACTATATTCATCGTCCTACATCAGTGAATTAAATGTTACGGAGTACGTTTATTTTAACGTTAGGGACTATATTCATCGTCCTACATCAGTGAATTAAACGTTAAAGACTATATTCATCGTCCTACATCAGTGAATTAAACGTTAATGAGTATATTCATCGTCCTACATCAGTGAATTAAACGTTAAAGACTTTATTCATCGTCCTACATCAGTGAATTAAATGTTACGGCGTACATGTTTGTTTTAACGTTAGGGACTATATTCATCGTCCTACATCAGTGAATTAAACGTTAAAGACTATATTCATCGTCCTACATCAGTGAATTAAACGTTAATGAGTATATTCATCGTCCTACATCAGTGAATTAAACGTTAAAGACTATATTCATCGTCCTACATCAGTGAATTAAACGTTAATGAGTATATTCATCGTCCTACATCAGTGAATTAAACGTTAAAGACTTTATTCATCGTCCTACATCAGTAAATTAAATGTTACGGAGTACGTTTGTTTTAACGTTGGGGACTATATTTATCGTCCTTCATCAGTGAGTTTGACGTAACGGACCATGTTCCAACTCTTTCATCAGTGCAATAAACGTTACAGACTTCCTACTCCTTCATCAGGAGAATTATACGTTACAGAGTATGTTCATACTCCTTCATCAGTGATTTCATCAGTGATTCCAACTCCTTCATCAGGTAACTTGATTATTACAGAGTATGTTCATACTCCTTCTTCCGGGAATTAAACGTTATGGACTACATTAATAATCTTTTATCAGGAAAATATAGTTTTACAGACTAATTTCATACTCTATCATCGGGTGAATTAAACGTTACGGTGTATCGTCTAACTCCTTCATCGGGTGAATGAAACGTTACAGAGGATGTTCATACTCCTTCATCAGTGAATTAAACATGACGGGCCATGTTCATCGGATGAAGCAAACGTTAAAGAGTAACTCCTTTATCAGGTGAATTACACATTACGGAGTGTCTTTGTTCGAACTGCTTCGTCCCACTCCTATTCGCCTGACGAGTGTGTGTGGGGACTCTTCGTGTTGCTATCAACAATAAAGACGCCAATATAGATAAAACAAATTCACGTAATGCGTGCGAGACAAGTAGATGACAGGAGATGACAGAGTGAGGACATTCTCCGAAACGTTGCATATCCAAATAAAGGAGTTGATATCTAAACCAAGTTTCTTCAGTACATGATCATTTCAACCAGGTAACCAGATACAATAAGATCTTTGACATGTTTATAACAATTTATATATACGACAGGAAAATAAGTTTCTCCCTGTTGCAAATAGTAAATATCAACGATTGGCCAGGCCAAGAGGACGTTTCATGGGACGGACCAAGATGCAGAAAGTACAAACTGAAATATCGCGTTTGAACATCATGTTTGTCTTTGAGTAAATGATTAGCCAATTTATTTTAAGGTCTTAAAGTAACCGACTATCAATTCCCTGATGTCCGGGACCTAGATCCAATCAACATTTCCTTAATCACGACACCAGACAGACTTGCTCTCTAATTAGGGGTTTTGTTTCACAACAAAGACTTTTTCCGAGATAATGTCCTCGGGACCTATTTGTTGCAGTCTTCTATTGTTTTGTCCATTTCGCGTCAACATCGATCGCGAACGCTTACTAACCAGTTACTGATCCATGCCCATACATACATATGTTACAATCCGTTACAACGCCATGTTGTACTTTTCATGCCTCCTTGTACTTCGCTCGTACTGTTAATCACAGTCCATTTTAACGGCACATTGTACTGATAATCTATATAAAAGCAACAAAGCCATTCTCATAACGGTCTGACCATACACAAAATGAAGTCATATTTTTAAAAATAAAATAAAACCCTTTTCGTGCCGTTTTTTTAGATGCTGATTTCTATCACAGACAACAAATTTGTAGGAGGCATATTGGAGACAAATTGAAACGGAGTTTTGATAAGAAGGTGGACAACCAGGTCGGTGCCTCTTGCCTTTTCAACATTAAAACCGATATTCTTTTGAAACAATCAGATAAGCCAAACACGTTTCAAGTCGAAGAGCAATATAATATTTTAATAAAACATATTTTAGTGTGTATCCTAATTGTTTGTCGATGACTACCAAAGTGGAATAGATTAAACATTACTATTCCGGAACTATTAACATATTAACATATTCCGTAAAATTGCAAAATTGAAAAACATGTACAAAAACATATTATTGTATGTTAAACTGAAAAGTTTTTAGAACATATTATAATTACTTCGATTGAAACGGTCGTGTGTAAGCATGTGATGTGCCATGACAACATAATGGATTAATACTAGATGGCTACTATGAAAAATATAAAATGAACACAACGAGAGCAACGTTTCATGAAAAAGAGTAACGGATTCTTACCTTTGTATTCAGCCTCTCCAGGAGTTCTCCACGTTTAACTATGTGAACACATTAAAAATTCTGCAGAAACAGTTCTAAGAAGTTTATAGAACATTCGAAGTATGATATTCCAAACTGACATGTCTGTTAAACCCAGCGTCCGATCAACGTGTTTTCATTGAGAACATCCCAACCGCGGCATCAACCCTCATCAGTGTCATACAACGACGAGAGAAGTTAGCGAGAACTATCCTGTCAGCAGCGGACGAACACACGTGTTATCTGTAAAACATCAATACTGAACTATGGCAGCGTTGTGTGTCTTGAAAGTAGTCCCGGACTTCTTCTTTGGCAGAGTTTGAACGGCAGCGGAAACGAGGAATTGAGATCACATTTTGGAATGATTTGAAAAGACCACTTGAACTGATTGGAAATCCACGAAAACAACCTGTCTCCGACTGATGGGTGATTTAAGCGTTGGGGCGTTTAAGACAAGGCTTGGACTTTAATATCTTCTCAAACTTTCTTTAAGTGAAGTTTCCAAAACCTGTTCCTTATGTTTAGTTATGTGCGATTCATGGAATAAGGTTATATATTTCATATCTCACTATGATATAAATTGGGTTCAGCTATATGTTTATAACGTTTGTGTTTAGGAATCAAGGGAAATATATCAAATCCATGAAGAATGTGTGCATGAATATATTTTTCGCAACAGAAACAGGGATGGTTTAGATTAGCTGCACACAGGGCGAATTAGGCTTGAGCGGATTTATATGATGGGCTTTGCGAGGTGCCCCGTCCCCATCCCAAATCCCCAACATCACGCTCTACCTTCTTTGGAAGAGTAAACGTAGCATCCATAATGAAATATAAGTTATTTGAACCTTTATTTCAAAATTCTCAGATTCTTCCTTGATAAGAACCGACGTTAAAGTATGCTAGCTACGATCATTTTAGCGCCAATATCGTTTAATGGAACAAGCCCCTGGCTTACATAAACATGTTGACAACAACACTATATCGGGAGGTAAAATACGTCACATCTTTATTGATATATGGTCCGTGACAGACCGCTCCCTGCCGAGATCATGTTATTATAGATGTGTTATTTCCGACCATATATGTAGAACATCCATATTCTTTGTTGTAATACTTAGCTGGAGATGTGTTACCAAGTGAGAGTTGATTGAGTAAGTCAGTCAGGAAGGTGCTAGTGACGGATTGATAAGTATACAGTGAAACCTCATTAACCCGGGCGGTAACGTTTCCTGTGAAATTGGGAAATTAACAAATTGCCCGGATGAACAATTGGCCGGATTAACAACTACAGTTATGTTCCGGAAGATGGGGGCTCCGGATTAACGAGGTTTTACTGTATATGGATATGTTCGGGTGGATGAAGGGGTGATAATGTACATGTAATCAATGGGGGATTGGTAGGCTGTCATACAGACCCTGAAACAAGTATATCCAATACAGATCCATGCAAGTCTATAATGTTTGGCAAGTTTAGATTAATGCAGTATCTAAAAATGAGGAAACGCTCCTTTTTATTATTTAACAACTGTTTTTTCCTGTAAAATATGTTCATTTCAGATACTAGATACTAGTCTCGGGGATTGGGTGAATGTTTTGTTTGGTTGGTTTATTTGTTGTTTAACACTGCACTCCAGTATTATTTTTTAATATTCCAGCTATATGACGGCGGTCTGTAAATAAATGTTTCTGGACCCGACAATCCCGTGATTGACATCATGAGCATCGATCTACGCAATTGGTATACGGTGACATGCATCAACCAAGTCTGTGAACCTGACCACCCGATAGGATAAATGAATTTTTCAATAACACGCCAGGTAGGACAGATTAAGTCATATAACGACCAAACACCATACAGCATTGTGATTGTTAGAAAAAAAATCCCACGGAACTAGTATCTTGTCTGCGAACAAAATGTATAATGACATTTGTTGGAAATACGCCTGCCTTGTATGGATAAACCTAGTTAAAGGGAACGAAAGGAAGAGTGACTTCAGATCCGACCATCTTGAATGTGACAGGTGAGCTAACCACATCCTGTTTGTTTCATTAAGTATAATCATAGATATTAAGTACTTGATTTGATTGAAGTTGTCTTGTAGTAGACAGTGTCCCGGCCTCCAACGCCTGTTGTCCATCTAGGTCTAGACGGTCTAATAATAGTCCGCGTGAAATTTGGAGACTGGTTCCTATTAATGGAGGTAACCAATACTAGCCTGGTTGACCTAGATGAGCAACTAGTTTTGTTGGGAAGAGCTTTTAAAATGGATTATTGTCTCAGATAAAAGAGACGACAAACCTTTGGAAAACTAGCCTCTACCATTTTTAACAATACGGGCTGGTGTCTTCCAAGAATCATATCACTACGTGACAGTCACCTAGTTTTTAAATGGATACAATGTCCAGCTGGCAACGTTCTTTGACCTACATTGTATGACCGACTCTGTGGCATATATCAATTCATTCCGACAGGCAGGTGAAGATTGAGGACTGATTACTCATCTACTGCCGGCCGATTTGTCCGTCCAATACCTTCAGGGGCACGGGTGGCGCCAGAAACCTATGATTGTGGGTTCGAATCCCTGTTTCTAGGTTTGTCAGCACCATACCCGTGCTTGTGGGTTTCACCGAAGTGGTAAACGTTTGAGACCTGCATCACTTCGGCGTTAAAACTCACTCACTCACTCACTCACTCACTTCAATACCTTCAGGTGTCCAATACCACACGCATTGGGGACTGGGTTCACAGTCGTCTTCATTGGGGACACCTCATCAAGGGATAGGAAACGCCGCCTAGCGTGGGTGAGTTAGATCTGACAAAGAGACATGTACATCCCAAAACACTATTAAAAAGACCAAATATGTTACAACTCCAGCAATTAGATAAGACTGCCATAAGATATCTGTCCAAAAGAAACTATGTACATTTGTTAACATTATAATTAAAATTGTAACAACTCCCGGTTAACCTCTGTCCACCGCAATGTTAAATACTGTTTGTACCTCACATGCCGATGCAGAGAAATAAAGTGCTGGTGAAAAGTTGAGTGAACGGGAGAGTTAAGGTTCGTTGTGTCACGTTTCATTCAACTATATTTTAGCTTTTTCCCGACAACCTGTAAGCACTCGTAGCGGGGTCATGGCAAACAAGTGGTTGATATCACGAGCAACGAGGATGACACATTATAGTCAAGGTCATGTAAACATGATAACCATCCGATCCTCCGATCTTATTACAAGCATGGTGCACTGGGAATATATCCTGCCTCTGAATCCACACTCTGTTCTGTAACAGATGACGAATGACAGTGAGTGAGTGGATGTTCTTCCGCGTCCCAGTCGTCAGCAATGTATCAACCATATCGCGATGGTCTATAACATAATCGCTTCTGGGCATGGTGACTGAAAGCATTAGCAACGATCCATCGGGATCGAAGTATAAACGACGTTTGGATGCTGAAATATATTTCGGTCATCTTCTATGACGCCACAACTGCTGGAGAGAACGTTAGAGCAAAGCCAGAGCATTATAGATCTGCACGGTATGAGTGATGGCACGTTCTGTGTGTTTCTCAAAATTCTACTTTAAATTTCACAGTCCATCACGCTGTGCCCTGACGGAGCGTTGTAGTCAATGTGGGATGTCGATAGGTTAAATCTTACACCAGATCAATAGGAGACTCAAATTGTGTTATATATATATATATATATTTCTTAAGTGTAATTCAGTCGTGGTTTAATATATATATATATATATATATATATATATATATATATATATATATATATATATATATATATTATTTAGTAAAATGTATTCATACATATACACTCCTTCATAAATAAGGCAATAAACATACAAGACCTAAGGCTTGGTGATATGGTGGGAGGTTATCATTCAAAGTGGGATTTCTTTAAGACACGGTCAGAAGTTCCACTGTACATAACGATTACTGTGGGGAAGCAATGCATCCTTTACTTGTTACTAAGTCGTGACGGAAAGTGGAATCGAAGGGCGTTTCGAGCACTAATACAATTCCTCCTCCTTTTGATTTTTAAATATTTGTTTTCGCGATAAATTGCACTAATTCGTGACGGAAACGTGAATAAAAGGGCGTATCGAACACTTATACAATTCTTCCTCCTGTGTTGTAACAGCTATGGTGACTATTGGTGACTATTGGTTGCCTTGATATAACTGTAATATTGATGACACCATCCATGACTTTCATCCATGACCCCCCATCAATGTACCCCATCCATGAATCTCACCCATGATCCAAAACATGACTCTCATCCATGACCCATCCATGATTCTCATCCATGACTCTCATCCATGACTCTCATCCATGACTCTCATCCATGACCCCATCCATGACTCTCACCCATGACCCATCCATGACTCTTATCCATGACCCCATCCATGACTCTCTTCCATGACCCATAAAGGACTCTCACCCATGACCCCACCCATGAACTCTCATCCATGCCTCTCACGAATGACCCCATCCATTAATCTCATCCATGACTCTCATCCATGATCCCATTCGTGAATCTCATGAACGAGCCCATCCATGACCCCCATCCATGACTCTCATCCATGACCCACATCCATGAATCTCATGAACGAGCCCATCCATGACCCCATCAATGACTCTCATCCATGACTCTCATCCATGTCTCTCATCCATGACCCCATCCATGACTCTCATGAACGAACCCATTCATGACCCCCATCCACGTCTCTCATCCATGTCTCTCACCCATGACTCTTATCCATGACTCATCCATTACTCTCATCTATGACTCTCATCCATGACCCCCATCCATGACTCTCATCCATGACTCTCATCCATGACTCTCATCCATGACCCATCCATGACTCTCATCCATGACTCTCACCCATGACCCATCCATGACTCTCATCCATGCCTCTCACCAATGACCCCCATCCATGAATCTCATCCATGACTCTCATCCATGACCCCATCCATGAATCTCATGAACGAGCCCATCCATGACCCCCATCCATGACTCTCATCCATGACCCACATCCATGAATCTCATGAACGAGCCCATCAATGACCCCATCCATGACTCTCATCCATGTCTCTCATCCATGACCCCATCCATGACTCTCATGAACGAGCCCATTCATGACCCCCATCCACGTCTCTCATCCATGTCTCTCATCCATGACCTTTATCCATGACTCATCCATTACTCTCATCCATGACTCTCAT